GCCATTAAAATGAACAGTGAAAGTAACAAAAGCTTATACAATACATTTTAACTGGTATAATTAAGTGTGGAAATAACTGAAGGTAATATCTGTTTGCTAAATGAAGCCAACTAACATGATTCATATTATTATTATTATTACTATTATTTTGTTTCTGTACCCAATATTTTTTTAAAAATTACAAATGCTGTGAAAATAGTAAAAAAGTATCGGTATCGGACTCGTTCTGAAAAAAGTGGTATCGGTGCATCCCTAGTTTTTGGTACTATTTTGCAAATCTGTGCCATTTGAACTTTCCATAAAAAGGCAAGAGCCAAATAATCTGTACAGGCTTGATGAGTTATGCATTAGCGGTTTGCTTTGTGTGATATATGACTGTATTTTGTGTGCATTTGGTCGCATGAATATTCCCGCAGCTCTCTGCAGTTTGCCTTGCCTGCACGGAGGCACCTGCGTGGGTCGAGACACCTGCTCATGTCCCTATGGCTTCGTAGGGCCCAGATGTGAAACCAGTGAGTCCTGATAAATCATGTTAGCTTGGATTTCATGTGCATGTGGATGTTTGCAAAGATGGTATTGCATGTGTTTTGGTTTCATTTTCACAGTGGTATGCAACCGTCACTGTCAAAACGGTGGGAAGTGTGCATCACCGGATGAGTGCGAATGTCTGGCAGGGTGGACGGGACCATCGTGTGAGACAGGTGAGAGTGTGTGTGGTTGGCTCCCAGTGGGAGCAATCTCTTCTCACTAAATCCATCATATGTATGTGTGCTGCTTCCTGGTGGCATTTAGCTGATGTAGAACCTCTATCTGTTCATTTTTCATTCCATCCTGGCGGCTCAGAGAAAACACCAGCTATTATTTCAGCCTGATGCTAACTACTTCTCATCCACCTGTGAGGATCAATTACTATCAATTGAGCGGAGAGCCTCACAGTAACAAATGTAGTTTTTATTCACATAAATAATATTTTACAAAAAAACAATATATGTCAACTCAAACAAAAACAGTAAAGTGATGCAATAAGATGTTGCTATAGGGTGTTTTTAGGAATAGAGAGAGAGAGAATTAACTTTTGTTTTTGCACTCAAAAAATATTTAGGTTTAAATTACAATTTTATGTGTTTCAATTGCATACAACTTTTCCATTACATAGTTTTAACATAAACAAAATAATAAATTTTATGTGATTTGTATGCGTCAGTCATACATGAATGAAACAGGTAAGACTTATAGACTTAGTCCCCAGTGTTTTATAAACATCGCTCAGTGTTCATGTTTTTCCACACTACAATGTTGTGTGTTAAAGTAGCATTGAAGCAGTGCTGGAATTAAGGACATAATTATTTGACGATTGACCATTAATGATGAACACCTGCTATTAACAAGTTTAGGTTTTCATCTATTATTTCTACTTTATTTCAATCTCACTTAACAAAAAATAAAAAAGTAATAGTTTTATTTTAACAACACTGATATATATAGGTTATATTTGTTTATTATTACATAATACTTCTAGCCCTGGGGCCCGTTCTTCGTACGTCGCTAACTCAGTTAGCTGGATTTGATTGTTGACGATTTGGCATGATCTTGGATTATTTGGTTCTTCGAAGCTCATCCCGGAGTTGCTGTCATAGCAACAGGTCCGTAAGCTTAAACCTGCTTTGGAGCAGGCTTCTTTCATGTAAACAGGATTAGATAGCATCTTTTTAAGCAGAATTGATACTTAAAATCTGTCCGTTACCAACGCTACTTTATTACAAGAGTTCCCTAATCCAGGGACAATAATTTAAAAATAATAATCATTTAAAAAT